TTGCACCTCCTCCTTGCGCTCGGGCGTGTTCTGTTTTTGAGAATTCTCAAAAGCAGAAGAAACACATCATCCTTGCACTCAGGCGCCACGCCAGCCTGGGAGGAGAAAGGGGGAAGGGGGGGGACCGGACGGACGGAGGGGAAGTCGAAGTCTCGTGGCGGTGTGTCCCACCTCCTCAAAGATTGGGTTATCAAGTTGTACAAGGAAAGCATGGCATGACATCCCTGCGACTCCCTCCCTCTGGGTGCCAAAGTGCAGCGCTCAGCAACGTGCTGACTATGTGGGAGCAGCACTGTAACGTCTGGTGGTGAGGTCCCCATCCCCATTCCCCACTCCCACCTCCCCCCCTCACCCCATCCCCCCTGTCTCTCTCTCCCCCCTGGCTCACACGGCCTGGTAGTCCTTGGGCAGCTCGTGTATTTTGAGTCAACAAGAAAAAAAAACCAATCTGAGACAACTCAAACACACCTTCTGAAACGACTCAAGACACACTTCTTGAGGTGTCCTGGGTCAAATGCAAGCCCTCCATCCCCCCCTGACTCACACGGCCTGGTAGTCCTGGGGCAGCTCGGCGTGGAGGCGCACTAGGCGCTTCCTCAGCTCCTCTGAGTCCAGTGCTTCCTCGCCCTCCTCCTGCTGTCCCTCCTCCTCCTCACACACCACCATCGCCTGCTGCCGCTTCGACTGGGGAATGGGGAATGGGGAGTGGGGAATGGGGAATGGGGAGTGGGGAATGGGGAGTGGGGAGTGGGGAATGGGGAGTGGGGAGTGGGGAATGGGGAAAGTTGGGACGCATGAGGCGGAGGGAGAAATGCGCTTGGACAGAGAAATGTGTCTGGACACAGCTGTGACCGCAAACTAAAGCACATGCTCCCCACCCACTACCACACACTCATGCACCTGTGCGGATTGGCATCTGCATGCTGTCTCCCTCTCTCTCACCTGTGCCGCGCTTCTCTTGGCCTCTATCTCGGCGTCGCAGGCCGCCACGGCCTGCTGCACACGCTGCACCTCGTCTGACAGCCGCTTCACCGCCTGCTCTTCGCACACACACACAGTGACCACAGCAGGGGAGGGGGATGACGAGGAGTTGTGAGGGAGGGAGGGAGGGAGGGAGGGAGGGAGGGAGGGAGGGAGGGAGGGAGGGAGGGAGGGAGGGAGGGAGGGAGGGAGGGAGGGAGGGAGGGAGGGAGGGAGGGAGGGAGGGAGGGAGGGAGAGAGGGAGGGAGGGAGGGAGGGAGGGAGGGAGGGAGGGAGAGAGGGAGGGAAGGAGAGAGGGAGGGAGGGAGGCGTCTGAGGTGTTCCAAGTCACAGCTGCTGCTTGGTGCGGGAGCATACACAAATCAGCACATCCATAAAGCTTCCCCTGCCCTCCCCTCTTGGCCTCCTCTTACAACGTTACCCCTCTCCACTCCTCTCCACTCCTCTCCCCCTTCCCCACCCCTCTCCACTCCTCTCCCAACTTTTACCCTCTCCCCCGAACTCAAGCACCCAGCCCATGAGCCCCAGGAGTCCCAGCAGCCCCAAGAGCTCCAAGAGCCCCAGCAGCCCCAGCAGCCCCAAGAGCCTCAAGAGCCCCAAGAGCCCCAAGAGCCCCAAGAGCCCCAAGAGCCCCAGCAGCCTGAGAAGCGTGAGCGGAGAGGTGAGGGAGGCGGAGGGAGTGTGCATGGTGAGGCGAGTAACGGGGGGGGGGGGAGTTTGAGCAGTGAGGTGACAGAGAGGGGGGGGGGAGTGTGAGCGGTGAGGTGAAAGAGAGGGAGATGGGAGGGAGGGGGCGTCTGACCGCTTGCATCTTGCGCTGCTGCGTGGTGAGCTGATCCATCCGCTCCATGGCCGCTCCCAGCGCCTCGTCCAATGCCCCCAGCTCCTCTGAGGGGGCGAGGGGACACAGAAGGGGGGAGAATACAGGCAAGGGAGGGGGAAGAAGAGTGAGTGGCGGGGCGAGAGTGCGGGAGGGGGAAGAGTCTGGCCGCTTGCGTCCATGCGCTCCATGGCCGCTCCCAGTTTTGAGGCGCCTCAAAACTAGGTGTATTTTGAGTTGACTCAAAATACACCTAAACTAGACTTCGTCCATGCGCTCCATGGCCGCTCCCAGCGCCTCGTCCAACGCCCCCAGCTCCTCTGAGGTGAGGGGGGAAGGGAAGAAGACACGCGGGGGAGAGGAGAGGTGGGAGAGAGTACGGGAAAGAGAGAGGAGTGCAGGAGAGGGGGGCGGCAGGAAGGGAAAAGGAAAGGGGAGGCCTTTTTTTTGGAAAGAAAACGATTTTACAGTCAAAGAGATGGAGTGATGATTCTCCTGCACTATTGCAAGCAGCCATACCACCCCCCATACACTCACATATATATACAAACCCATTCACACTCTCTCACCCTCACCCCATCTCACTCTGTCCTTTTCTCACCCTCAAGTCGCCCTTTGTTGCCCAGCACCTTCTGCTCCTCCTCCTTCGCCTCCTCCAATCGCCCCCTCTCCTCCTCCAACGCCGCCCGCTCCGCCTCTGCCTCCGCCTCCACACGCTGCCATGGCACGCAAGGGAGAGGGCGGGGTGAGGGAGAAGAAAGGGGACTTCTTTTGAGGCGTCACCAATAGAGCCTCTGCCTCTGCCTCTTCCTCTGCCTCTGCCTCCGCCTCCACACGCTGCCAGCCATGGCACACAGAAAATGGGGGGAGAAGAGGGAAGGTAACGGACGAAGGTGTGTTGGAAATACGGAGTGGTAAAGGTCAGACGAAGTTCATCTGGTGGATATTTAGAAGTAGAAAGAGCCGTTCTTTCCCCGAGTCTCAGCCCCAACGGCATCCGGAGCCCCCCACACACCCTTCCCCACCAGCGCGCATCTCCATTTATTCCTCCAGGTCCGAAACAGTGCCCTCTGACTCAAAGTACCCCGCACCTTGACTCACCCTGATACCAAGCCTCAAACAGTCTTCTCCAAACCATTCCCTGTCTCCCCCCCTTCCACCCCCCCCTCTCCACATCCTCCCCTCCCCCTCCCCCCTTGCCTGCTGCCGCTCCTCCCTTGACTCGATCTGCACCATGCGCACCGCCCGCTCCGCTTCCCGCCTCTTCAAACGCACAGCCCGATCCAAGCCCGTGACTAGCCTCAAACAACACCCCCGACCCCCCTAAATCAAGGCCACGTCTTCCCCCCTCCCAAACTGCACCCTCCAGCTCTCCATAATCCCCCCCTCTCCCCCGCCCCATCCCCCCAATTTTCCCCATGCCCTCCCCCCCACGCACCTCGAGTTCTTCCTCCAGGTCCGACACGTTGACCTGCGACTCATAATGCTGTGTGGCATAACGCACCCTAGAATTCATCCCAACCCATTCCCTGTCCCCTCCCCCCCCTTCCCCCCCCCCCCCCCCCTCCTCCCCGCACCTCCAGGTCCTACACGTTGACCTGTGACTCGTACTGCTCCGCAGCCAGCATCTGCTGCCGCTCCTCCCTTAACGCAATCCGCACCATGCGCACCGCCCGTTCCGATTCCCTTGTCAGCAAACGCACAGCCCAAACCAAGCCCATAACTAGCCTCAAACAACCCCCCTCCCCCCCTCCCAACATCCTCCACCTCCCGATACCCCCCTCAACCCACTCCCTCTTTCCCCACCCCCTGCGCGCACCTCGAGTTCCTCCTCCAGGTCCGACACGTTGACCTGCGACTCGTACTGCTCCGCCGCCAGCATCTGCTGCCGCACCTCCCTTAACTCGATCTGCGCCAAGCGCACCGCCCGCTCCGCCTCGCCCTGCGCGATCAGCAGCTGCTGCAGCCGCGCCCGCTGCCCCTTCACCTCCCCCTCCCGTGCCTCCCTCTGTCGCCGGAGATCCTCTGCGGAGGATTCTAGACGCTCCTCCTCCTCCCGACCCTTGGCCTCGTCATCCTCCAGGTTGCAGCCTAGCCTCCCACCTCGCAGGTTGCGGTTGCGGGGTAAGCTGACCTCTTGGTTCCCCCGGAGAAAGCTGAGAGAGGGTGGGGAGTGGAGGGTGTTGGTGAGAAAGGGGAGAGAGCGTTGGGGGCGCTCCTCCTCCTCCCGGCCCTTGGCCTCGTCGTCCTCCAGGTTGCAGCCTAGCCTCCCCCCTCGCAGATTGCGGTTGTGGGGTAAGCTGACCTCCTGGTTGCCACGGAGGAAGCTGAGAGAGGGAGGGGAGTGTGGAGGGTGTTGGTGGTGCCATGACGGGATAAGTGTGTGATGGAGGAAGGGCGTCGGGGGGGCGGCGGGAAGTGGGGGAGGGAGAAAGAACGGTGGGACGGGGAGGGAGGAGGGGGGGTGGGGTGGGGTGGGGTTGGGCTTTTGGGTTGATTCGAGGGGTACAGAGAAGGAGGAAGAGGGAAAAAGCGACAGAGAAGGAGAAAAAAAAAACGTGAGAAAGCGAGAGGAGAGGAGTGGTGGCGTGGTGACTGACAGGCGCATGCCGTCTTGAGTGATGCACTCTTTGACTCTCCCTGCAAGCCTGCGGTCGAATGCCACCTCCTTGCCCTCGTCAAAGCCGGGCACCAGCACCGTCGACTCCACCTGCGCCTGGTGGCATGGACACAGAGAGAGGGGACGAGAGGGCGGGGCGGAGAGGAGAGTTGGGATTAATTTTTGAGGCGTCTATTTTTGAGGCGCCTCAAACATGGACACAGAGAGAGGGGACGAGAGGGGGGGGCGGAGAGGAGGAGGGTTGGGATTAAGCGAGGGAGAGGTCAAGAGCTAGACGCCACTGCCTGGTCCTTGTCAAAGCCGGGCACCAGCACTGTGGACTCCACCTGCGCATGGTGGCATGGGCACAGAGAGAGCTAGGCGAAGGGAGGGGAGGAGGGATGGGATTGAGATGAAGGGTCAACAGCTCTTTGCCCTCGTCAAATGTTGGGCAGCAGCAGTGCTGGTAACTCCACCTGCACCTAGTGGCATGGGCACATAGAGAGAAGCAGGTGGGTGAGTGAGGTGATGATGAGCAAGGTTAGCATGGTGATATATACTCGACTCAAGAGTCTCTTTGCGCTGACTTTTGAGGCGCCTCAAAATGAGGGTTATGTGGAGCACGGGTAGCATGGTGATATATACTCGACTCAAGAGTCTCCTTGCGCTGGCTCAAAAGAAACGGTGAGCCAGGCTACCAACCCTGGTCGATGAGCACGTTGCACACGACAGGGTTGATTGATACTTGAAAGAATATATATTAAAAAAGGGAATGATTATATATATATATATATATATATATATATATATATATATTGTTGGCGATGTTGATCTGACAGCACGGAGAGCGAACCTCCAGAGATCTCAAAACTCACGGCTTCAGCATGCATGCACACACGAGCGTTGTGGGAGCAGGAGCTAGTGGGGCATGTGGCTAGTGGGGTGGGTGAGTCCGGCTACCGACCACGTCGATGAGCACGTTGCGCCTGTTGAGCACCGACAGCACCGTCACAAGACCCTCCTTAAATGGCTGAAAACTTGACTCAAGGGTCTCTGGGGCAACTTAGAAGCAATGGTGGTTTTGGTTACCGACTTGGACTCCAGGGTGTAAGATTTAGGGTTACGACCTGGTCTCCAGGGATTAAGATTTAGGGTTGCCAACCTGGTCTCCAAGGCTTAAGATTTAGGGTTGCCAACCCAGGGCTCAAGGTTTAGGGTTGCCGACCTGGTCGATGAGCACGTTGCGCACGACGTGGTTGGCGATGTTGAGCACTGACAGCACCGTCACAAGGCCCTCCGGGGGCAGGCCGTGCACCGGAGGCTCTATGCTGCAGGGAGGGAGCGAAACGAGCGGCGCACGGGGGCGGAGGGCGGGGACGGCTGAGGTTTGGGTTGAGAGGGGATCAGGTACGGGGAGACAAGCAAGAATGGGTTTTGTTGTGAGACTTTTCAAAATTCAAAGGGACAGGCAAGTAAGAGGACTAAAACGTGCAGTGGGCTTTCAGCTTTCAGGCAGGAAATAAAACATGTGGCGTTGGACCACCACCACCACCAACAAAGAACGAGCTGGGAGGAGAAGAGAAAATAAAAGGCGTGCCATACACCAGCAGCGGAGAGGAGGGGGGAGAGGGGAGGGGAGAGGGGGTGGGGGGATGAAAAAAAGTGGTGGCATATGGGGGGAGGTTGAAGCCGTAGGAGAAGACGGTGAGGTTATTGAACTGAATGCTGTCTGCGAGCTGCTGCATGAGGCCTTCCAGCTTTCAGGCAGGAAGAAAACAGACGTGACGGGGGACCAAAACCACCACCAGCAATAGCAACAACGAAACCAACGTACGGGGGGAGGTTGAAGTCGTAAGATATGACGGTGAGGTTGTTGAAGTTGATGGAGGCTGCGAGCTGCTTGAGCGTGCGGTAGTCCGCCAGGCACGACACGACGAACGAGTCCAACAGCCGCCCCACCCCCACCTCCACCGCCATGCTGTGTTGCGCCGCCTCCAGGGACTGGGCACAGTGGGGAGTGACGGGGAGGGGGGGAAGAGAGAGGGGGAAGAGAGGGGGGGAAGCGAGGGGTGAAAGAGAGGGGGAAGAGAAAGAGGAGCACATGAAGGAACAGTTGGTGAACACAATGGGAGTACAAGTGCCCCACACCAAGCTCCACCGCCGTGCTGTGCTGTGCTGCCTCCAGCGACTGGGCACAGTGGGGAGTAGCGGGGGGGAAGAGAGGGGGTGCAGGAGAAGACGAAATGGAGTGAAAACAACAAACGAATTCAACTGCCCCACACCCGCCTCCACCACCATGCTGTGCTGCGCTGTGCCGCCTCCAAGGACTGAGCGCAGTAGGACAGAGAGGGGGCGGGGGGACGAGGGGGGACAAGGCAAGGCAAGACAACGCATGGGGTATGGAAGGCATGGGCACGGCATGTCATAGGCATGGACATGGGCATGGGCATGGGCATGGGCATGGGCTGGGCATGGGCATGGGCATGGGCATGGGCATGGGCATGGGCATGGGCATGGGCATGGGCATGGGCATGGGCATGGGTATGGGCATGGGCATGGGTATGGGCATGGGCATGGGTATGGGCATGGGCATGACTTGCTATGGGCATGGTAGATCACCAAATGAGCTCCGATGGGCCCTATGGGAGGCCGCATGAATCTCCTCCTGTTCTCCTCTATCTGCCTCAGCAGCAATGCCACCTTGTCCCCGCCGAACGCCCTCAGCTGCCACACATCACACACCACGCACAGGGGAACAGGAGAACAGCACATGGGGGGGATTGCGAGGGGAGCATTGGTGAACGAAGCAGCGGTGGTGTGTGGGGGGGAGGGGGAGGGGGGGAGAGGAGGAATGAGTGAGCGGCATGCAAGTGCAGCGTGGACTACCAGGTGAGAAGCGGAGAGAGGCGTGACAGATGGAGAAGGGGGGGCGTGAGCACCACTAACATGCAAGTGCGGAGCTATCCACCCACCCACCCACCCACTACCCTGCTGTATTCTGTTGACCGACAGAGGATGATGTTACCAGCAGGAGAGCGTTACAGTACTGCACCATCGTTATTCCACCAGCCGTAAACCAAACGACATCACAACTTTCCTCCCCCCCCCCCCCCCCCCCCTTCCCTTCTCCCGCCTCCCTCCTCTTCAACCCCCCCCCCCCCCACCCCGTCCCCTCTCCCAGAACCCCCACATGCCCTTAGTAGCACTCTCACTTTATCGCTGGCCTCAACTCGCCGCCTCCTCAGCCATGCCTGCACGTCCCTGGCCCTGCCACGCGCCTCCTCCTCCTGCTCCCACGCGGCCGTGAGAGAGTAAGGGAAGGGAGAAACCCATAAGTTTGTGGGAGGGTTGCGAGGGGGAAGGGGGGGGGAGATACAGGGAGAAAGAAGACAAAGGTAAAAGCAGGGGAGGACGAGGGGGAGGAAGAGGTGGGGGGGGAGAGGGGGCTGGAGGAGGAGGAGGAGGAGGAGGAGGAGGAGGAGGAGGAGCGAGTCTCAGGACCTGTATGTATGGCCTCTATCCTCTACCAGACTCTAAGCCCTGTGCATATGTGATTAAGCCATGCCAGCCCATGCACTTCCCGTCTATCTACCCCCCAACCCAGCATCCCCTCTCTAAACCCCTCAGCACCGCACCACACCTGTTTCATCAGAGCCTCCTGCTCGCCCTCGCTCTCCCTCACGCTCCCCTGAGCTGTCTGCAGCTCGCGATTCACACTGCCACGAGTAACGGGACAAGATACACCGGATTCGAGGCGCTTCAACACAAAACAAGCGAGATTCACGACATCTCAAAACTCGTGTGCAGCTCGCCATTCATGCCGCCACAAGCAACGGGATAAGACAAGCAGGATGCGGGACGGCGGTTGCAGATCAACACGCATATCAGGTTGGAATAGGAGGTGGAAGGGGAGGGAGGATGCAGGCCACTGAAGAGTGTATGTGGTTTGGGACGAGCGGCGAGCGGCGAGCAGGGAGGGGAGGGGAGGGGAGGAGGGGTGGCTTTAGAGGCGAGTGGAACAGAGTGCGCGTTTTGGAGAGTGTGGAGCTGTGAATGATGATGCAATGAAAGAGCCATGGTCAACTCCCAAAGCAACGACACACAAGGACGCTCAGCGCAGATCGATGCGCATCTGCGCAAGGCTCCGGGCAAGGCAAGGCAAGGCGCACGGCGCAACGCAACGCAAGGCAAGGCCCAGAATAGATACGCGTGCTTTTTATTTCATAAGAATGGCTGCTGTTGAGTCGAGTACGAAAATAAGGTACACAAAAGATATATGCGTGCCTTCCGTTCTCTTCTAGAGAACAGAACGCTGGTGCGAAGGCCGGGGGAGACGCAAGAAGCACTCTCACTCACCAGGCAACCACGTGGCTTAAAGAGTCTCCTCTCCTCTCCCCTTCCCTGCGGCTTACCTGTCAAGTCTCTCCTTGGCCTGCTCCACGAGGCTCTGCTTCGCTGCCACCTCAGCATCGCGCTGCGACCGATGCGCCTGAGACAGTCGGGGCATGGGGGAGGGGTGAGAGGAGTGATGTAAGGAATCATACACGGAAGGAAGAACAGAAGTGGAACATGGGATGTGGAACACAGGATGTGGAACACGGCAAGTGGAACACAGGAAGTGGAACAGAGGGAAAACTGTGCACCTCCTGCCAAATGCTGCCTTCATCCCCCCTGTAATCCATCTACGACTCCTTCATCCTTTATCCACTTGTATTTCCGATAGGTCAGCAACCAATACATGCCATCAACCAAGCCGCTGCACCTGCCACCAGCCGTCCATTCAGCACGTCCCACTTCCTCTTCTCCTCAACTTCGGCACCCAACCGCACTGCACTCATCGCCCATCCCTTTCCCCCTCTCCACATTCCCCCCTCTCCCCATTTCCGCCCATCCCCAACCCCCCTCATCTTCAGTTTCCCTCCTCTCCCCCACCCCCCCTCATCTTTCTCTTCTCTTCCTCTTCTCTCCCCTCCCCTTCTCTCCCCCTCCTCCTCACCTGTGAGCTCCTCCAGGCTCGCTCCTGCAGGTCCTCCTGGATGCGTCCATTCAGCTCCTCTGTCTTTCCCTCATCTGCCCCATCCACCCACTCCCCTCACCGTCTCCCCACCTCTCCCACCACCCACCCACCTGGGAGCGCCTGCTGGCTCGTTCCTGCAGGTCCTGGATGCCGCCACTCAGCTCATCTTTCCCCCATCTTCCCCCTCTCCCCCTCATCTTCCCCTTCATTCTCTCCAACCAATCCCCTCCCTCCCTGACCGCATCCCCACCTCTCTCACCCACCCACCTGCGAGCTCCTGCTGGCTCGCTCCTGCAGGTCCTGGATGCGGCCGCTCAGCTCCTCTGAGCGCCGCTTCCTCTCCTGCACCGCCCGCTCGTGCCGCCCACACGCCGCCTCCACTGCCCCGCGCTGCCGGGACGCCTGCAGGGCAGGGAAGCAGTGCCGTGCCGTGATGCGTCATGGGGATGTTAACAGTGGCACAGTAAGGGGGATTATGGTGCGCCTTCACCGCACCGTGCTGCCGCAATGCCTGCAGGGCGGGGTAGGAGTGCCGTGCTGTGTCATGTCATGGGGATGTTAACAGTGGCACAGTACAGGGGGCTATGGCACAGTAAGGGGGCCTATGGCACAGTAAGGGGGCCTATGGCACAGTAAGCGGGCGAGATTGCACGCAAGTATGGCTTTTGCATTGACCCGACATGCTTTCAAGCCCTGACAATCCCCCTCCAATCCTAGCGGCCCTCAGCCCAGCATGGGTACCATACCATTCCACCCTCTCTTCTCCATCTCACCCACACCCCTTCCCACCGCACCTACCACCCCTCCCCCCACCTTTCCTCCCTCCCCTATCCAGCCCCTCCCTAACCTGCACCACACCAGTTGGTGGCCCACCCCCCACCCCCCCCCCCCCCCCCCCCCCCCAAAATCTCACCTGCGCGAGCTGCTGGCGGAATTGGCCTTGCTCGGCCTTGACTCGCTCCACCTCGTTGCTGCACCCGTTCACCTGCCCCATGTGCCGCTCTATCTGCTGCTGCACCGACTCCAGCCGACTCTGCCAAGGAGGACACCAAGGAGGTGGGCGGTGGGAGAGAGGAGAGCGGAGAGGAGTGAGTGGTAGAAGGGAGGGAGGGAGAGAGAAAGAAGAAAGCAGCACACCGGCTTTGAACACAAGCCAGCCGAAGCAAGCTGGATCTGTCTCCATCCCCAGACTAGTTTTGAGGCGCCTCAAAACCATCCCCAGACTAGTTTTGAGGCGCCTCAAAACCACCCCCAGACTAGTTTGAGGCGCCTCAAAACCATCCCCAGACTAGTTTTGAGGCGCCTCAAAACCATCCCCAGACTACCCAACCCATACCCATGCCCAATCCCTCCCCTCCCAACTCCTGAGCCACCCCACCGCCCAACCCTCTCCCACTTACCCTCAACCGTCTTCTTTCCTCCCCCATTCCACTTCCCCCTTCTTCTCTCCTTCGCCCCTCCCTCTCACCTGTGCGGTAGCCAGCCGTCCCTCAAACTCCTCCACCCTCTCCTGCGCCTCTCGATTCCCCCGCTAGCCCCCCCACTTCTCCCCCCCTTCGCCCCTCCCTCTCACCTGTGCGGTAGCCAGCCGTCCCTCAAACTCCTCCACCCTCTCCTGCGCCTCTCGCTTCCCCCTCTCCGCGTCCGCCGCCTCCTGCTCCGCTTCGTGCACGTACGCCCACGCCAGCTGCTTCATCACCCGATCCGCCTCCTGCCCGCGGCTCTCCGCCTCCTCAACCTCCCGCAGCTGCTGCTCCGCCTGTCTTGCCTTCTCCTCCAGGGGCCCCAGCTTCTCCTCTGCTTCCGCCAGCTGCCGCTTGCAGACCACGAGTCGTGCTGAGATGGTGGCTAGACGCGCCGAGACCTTTTCTAGGAGTGTGGCCTTTACGAAGAACTGGGAGGTATAGGTGTGGGGCGGAAGAGGGCGGGAGTGAGGGAAAGGGGGGGGGGATTTGAGGCGCCTCCTGCCCGCGGCTCTCCGCCTCCTCCACCTCCCGCAGCTGCTGCTCCGCCTGCCGCGCCTTCTCCTCCAGGGGCCCCAGCTTCTCCTCTGCTTCCGCCAGCTGCCGCTTGCAGACCACGAGTCGTGCTGAGATGGTGGCTAGACGCGCCGAGACCTTTTCTAAGAGAGTGGCCTTTACGAAGAACTGGGAGGTATCGGGGTTGTGTGTGGGGGGCGGAAGAGGGCGGGAGTGAGGGAAAGGGGGGGGGGATTTGAGGCGCCTCCTGCCCGCGGCTCTCCGCCTCCTCCACCTCCAGCAGCTGCTGCTCCGCCTGCCGCGCCTTCTCCTCCAGGGGCCCCAGCTTCTCCTCTGCTTCCGCCAGCTGCCGCTTGCAGGAGTGTGTGAGGGAGTTGGAATGGTGGGAGATAAACAAGTGTGGAGTGAAAAGAGCAGTGCAGGTTGGGTTTTTGTGGGGTGGGGATCAAAAGGGTGGGGGGGAAAGGATGTAGGGGATGGGATCTGGCCGGAAGAGGGGCATATCAAGGTGAGGAAGGTCAGGGTGGCAGGGTGTGCTCTTTAACTTCTGTTAAAGTGGGCGGGAGCAGGTCTGTAGCACCTTGCACTTGTCGTATTCAAGCCGCATTTCAGCCAGCTCAAACACAGATCTGTTGAAGAGGGCAGTGCGGTGCATGCGTACCTTGTACTTGTCTTTGGGCGTTCCGGAATGTAGGAACTCGCGGCTCTTGTCCTGCGACATGACTATGCATGGATTGTCCACATCTAACTGATGGGAGGGATGCACACATGCACACACATGGATGAACCCACACACACCCCCCCCCCCCTCTCCCCCCTCCCCCAACAAACGCCAACACACATCCCCAACAGGAAAACCCTCAAACGCCACTTCCCTCTCCCCCAACTTCCCCAACACCCCACACAAGAGCTCATGCACGCAAGAGATAACCAAAGAAAGCAAGGCAAGGGTCAACTCAGCATTGCACGCGAGCCAGACGTGGTTTGGTTTGGTGCATGGCAGCATGACAGTGTGGTGTGGTGCGGAGTTGTGAGTGACACCCTGCGTTTTCCCCATGACTGGCGTTGCCTGGGAATGAGGTGTGCAATGTGACGCCCATATGGCTGTTGCATGCATTTTCCCCATGACTCATCGGACTATTGCATGCATTTCCCCCATATGACTAGTGCTGCCCGGGCCTCATCGGCTGCTAACATTGGGAGGAGGTGTGCAACGTGGCATGCCACACTTCCATTTCCCCCATGACTTTCGCTGTCCGGGCCTCATCGGCCTCACGTTAAAGTGTGCAACATGACAATGACAACCATAAGGCAATTCTTTTTTTCCCATGGCCTGCATTGCCCGGGCCTCATTGCCCTCCTTGGCCTCATCGGCCTCACTCACGTTGAAGTGCGCTGTGAGCTCGTCCAGGTCCTCCCTCTTGCCGCGCACCTTCCTGCCTGCTCAATAATCAGTGCCCGTATGTGGAAATATGGCACATACAATATGACATCACAAAGTCAATCACAGAAAACACGCAAGCAAGGGGGAAGGACCAGCGCATACAGAAAAGGGCAAGCAAAAGCAGCATGGGAGCAGAAGAAGAAACCGGACTGAAATCATACACACACAAAAAACCCTCCACTCCCTACCCTCACTCTGCCCGTCCTAGATCCCATTTTGCCTCAATGCACCCATCCCTCTCACCCTCCCTTCCCCCCCCCCTCCCCCCCCCCCCCTCCCCCGTTCCCCGCGCACCTCGGAAGTCCTTGAGCGCGAGCGTGGAGGACCCATTGTCGTTAATGCGCCGCTCCACTGTCAGCCGTCCATATTTTTGGCGCCTCAAAAGTAACTAACAACTCTCCCTCCGCCCATCGACACCCCCCTTCCGCCCTTCCCTCTTTTCCTCCCCTCCACGCACCTCGGAAGTCCTTGAGCGCGAGCGTGGAGGAGCCATTGTCGTTGATACGCCGCTCAACTGTCAGCCGCGGGCCGAACTCGTCGGGGCGGAACGCCTCCTCCCCCTCGTTGTTCAGCTCCACGCTCACCTGCGCCCAGCTACGGGGGGGAGGGGGGCGCGGGGGGTGGGGAGATGGCGGAGGGGCACGCGCAGGGGGAGGGAGAGGCGCGGGGAAGGGGGAGAGAGAGAGAGAGCTGGGGAGGGTGAGGAGGAAGGGTGAGGGATGAGGGTGGGAGGCAGCAAGGATAGGTTGGGTGGGGGGGAGGTGTGTGGGACGAGACTAGGATTCGGCGCTTGAGTGTTAACAGGTGCCTAAAATCAAACCTGCGTGCAACTCATGCAGCCTTAACTAACACAGGGAGGGGGGTAGAGGACCAACGAGCGAGGTAGTGCGACTCGACGTGGCCTCTACCCATGGAGCAAAGGAAGAATATATATTTATGACTGAGCGCTGTTGGCGCAGACTGAAAATGTTGGCTAAAAGGAGGAGACTTCCGTTTCCTTTTTTTTTAAGGGCCTGAAACATGAAGTTAGCTTGGGGTGGCAACGAGGAGGACACCTGCATCCTGTGCGAATGAAGTCCTTTATGGCGGACGCGCGGTTCGTCGTGCGCGCTCTCGTGCCAAACGCCACGCACAGCCCGGTCAGCACCGCGCTCTTGCCGCCTGATGGCACGGACAGACACAAAGGGACACAAGGGACGCATGATACACACGAGACACGAGATGCGGGTCGGAAATGCACTCAGGACACCCCAGGACGGCACTGCCTCGTGCAGTTTACGCGCGGCTGGAACACTGGCGGAGGAAAAGGGGATGTCGAAGAAGCACATGGAGCTAAGGAAGTCGACAGCAGTATTGCGCGACATAAGAAGAGACGTAAATAAGGGTCCGTAGTGTAAAAGAGACTAACTTCGCAGACTTGACTGGACCTGTTGTTATCGGCACAGCTCCGATGTTCTCACGCACTTCCGTTGGAGCCAGTGATGAAGTTGACGTGGCGGATAAAGTCCACGTGGAGTGCCTCGTGGCACATGAAGTTGCGCAGGTCCATGGAACGGATCCATCCCGCGCCTTTCTCACTCCAACCAGGGCTCGCGGTGCCGTTTGCGAGGCCATTCGCGCTGCTACCCGCCACTGGTTGGCTCATTGTGCTCTGAGCTTGGAAATCATGAGTACAGATGGAAAGTACTGCTGTGAAGATAGCTCGGGTTCCTAGTGTAAGGACGAACGGAACGCGATAACTTCTAGGACGAACGGAACGCGACGAGTGCGAGGACGAACGGAATACCACTTCCGTGGAGGTTTGCAGGGCTCAAGTAATTGGTTTGAATGAACGAAGTTCGAGGAGCTCCCGCCCACCTGAAAGCTCGCTCGATAACGGAATGTGGCTCGAGATGAGAAACAGAGATACTGATCAATGATCTCCACTAGAACGGTGATTTAGTGTTCAGGTCATGAGTTCAAAAATTACGCTAGGTGTATACAGCGTAAATATTGTGTTAATTGTATAAATTTAAGATTAATTATACATGTTAGAAACATTTTTGGAGCCTAGCCCATTTCATTAAGCTGTAAATAACCATGCTAGCTATTACTACATGTACCATAAGCTAATGAAAATTTCGGTTATCGCGTTGTGAAAGCAATATGACAAAGTCATAAAACGGGGACACATCGCGTCTCTGAACGAACGCAGAAATTAAGGGTTGTTCCTCTGGTCTCATGTGCTGATTGAGGTTCGTCATGGCGATGTGGCTGTGTACAGACCTGCCAAACCTGACGTTTCGTCCGTCAAACTCGGCCATCAAACGAGCTAGCAGTTCCGAGTCTCCACATCCGAACCTGTTATTGCCCAGGCCGAATACGTCTGGTTGAATGGAATTGGTGCCCCTCTGCCCTACCGCCTACCTGCTTGATCCCTTTCCAGCACTTGCCATTCCATACTGCCCCAACCGTTTCCCTTTCCCTTACCTCAAACAGCATTCCACCCACACCACATCCCACTGCTGCTCCATCCTTGTAAAAATCTCAGCAGCTCGTTGAAACCAAACCCTCCCACCAATATTCCAGCTTCACTCCCTGGTTGAGCTCCTGCTGTGGTTATCACTTGTTCCTGAAATTCGACCGTGGAGCTGGTGGCGGATTTTTCCTTGAAGAATTTCTGCTGAGCTGCATTCATTTTTTCCTGTACGTGTCAAGCTGACTTCTGCGGATTACTGCTTAGATGTGGGACTGTGGAGTTTTGGCAGGCCATAGAAAGCCGTGAATGAGCGGGATTTCTGGCCCTAATTACGGCAGGATTTATAAGATGGATTTTCCGTGTCCGTGTGTTCCTGCATTCCCATTCCATTTCGGCTGTCCTATTCACGGCTCAACTAGATCTAGCTAGCTGTCTTGCTCCATTTAGTCCCTGAAGCAACTGCACTATTTTTCTCGTCAGGTCCAGGTAGCGTGCTTGTTTTATATGTACTGAGCTTGCTCCGGTTAATGCACATTCGGGGCTCATAAGCATATTGAATCCAGCTCAGACAATGGTTGCTGAGATCTGCGAGATCTGGCTTGCAGCTGGAGGGATTTGATAAGGAACGGGACATATATTTCCCTTCCTTGTCTTGCGCGAATTTCCATGCGTAGAACATCGTCATATGGCGTTTTATTTGGTCATGTATACAAACTTACGAGATCTATGTTGCGGTGTTGAAAAAAAAATCTTTGGATGGCCGTGATCTGAAATCGCTACAAATTTCTACGCTGTCCGCAGGTTCTACCTTCAGTCACATTGAGTGCAGCTGACAGCATCAGCCATGGATGAAACCTACGATGTCATCGTGCTGGGAACCGGCCTTAAGGAGTGCATTCTGAGTGGCCTCCTTTCCGTCAACAAGTACAAGGTATCCTGAACTCTTGCACCCCCGACAAGAAGTACATGGATGAATCTGGAATGAAATTGTACGCTCATCCAAGTTCCCTGAGCATCAATAGTGGCTCGTTTCCCTTTCCCTGCTACTTTCCTATTGTGAATGTCAGGTTCTCCACATGGATCGCAATGACTACTACGGTGGCGAGTGCGCGTCCCTGAACCTCAATCAGGTTCGTGCGATTCTTACCTCATGTGAGATTTCCCTCTCATGTTTTCGGTCTTCATGTTCTCGCTAGAATGAACCTACCTGCGACAGGAGGCGTATATGTGCACTTCTCGTGCCCATCATGGCTTGCTTCACATTTTGTTAACACGGTGTTCTTATGCCTGGCGTTTTTCCGTTTGTGTTCTGCCGCATCAGTTGTTTGCGAAGTTTAGGCCAGGAGAAACCCCGCCTGCCTCGCTCGGTGCGAGCCGAGACTACAATGTCGACATGACGCCCAAGGTATGATCACGCCATTTCTTCCCTGACGTCCTTAATTCTATCTGAGCACCACAAGCCGAAATTTCTGCTTTTCTTTTTTATTTTTTCTTTCCGTTCTGCCTTCGATATGTCACGTAGCCAGCCATTTCGTCCTAAGCGTTTTCTCTCTTCCCCTCTGGCATCACCCTTTGAATTTCGTGCACTCGCAGTTCATGATGGCGAACGGCCTGCTGGTTCGTGTGCTCATCCGCACGGACGTTACCAAGTACCTGCAGTTCAAGGCTGTCGACGGCAGCTATGTCTTCAAGCAAGGCAGAGTACGGCGACCAACACCCCGCACGCGCAGCTCTTTTTCCCTACGGCTATTTGGTGTCGCTGGATGTTTGCTGTCGCATGCGATGTGTGGTAAAACATTCAGTCTCGCTGCTTACCGTCCGTTTTTGGTCGTGGTTTCCTCTGCAGGTGTACAAGGTTCCTGCCACTGACGTGGAGGCAGTGTCCTCGCCGCTGCTGGGATTCTTCGAGAAGGGCCGCGCGCGCAAGTTCTTCATCTTCGTGCAGGAGTATGACCCCGCCAAGCCCAACACGCACCAGGGCTTGGACCTCACCACCGCCACCTCCAAGACCGTCCTAGAGTGAGTCATTCCGCTTGCCTCCGCCCTCTCCCCTCCCGTCCCCTCTCCCCCACCGCCTCCCTTCCCTTCCACCGCACTCCCCCTTCCCTCTGAATGGCTCCTCGTTTGTCGTTGACGTCGTTCGAAACGCACCGCGTTAAACCAAATTCTGACTTGTTTCGCGTGGCTGTGCGCGGATTGCAGGAAGTTCGGGTTGGACCAGAACAGCATTGATTTCATCGGCCATGCGCTGGCCCTGTACGAGGACGAGTCCTTCATGGCGAAACCTGGCACGGAACTGATCGCGCGATGCAAGGTATATCCTTTGCCTGAGCTCGTTGGCTCCTCTACTTGCTCTTCCTCGGTTTCTCTTTCCTCACTTCGTCTCACTTTCTCTCTTCTCGTTCACGTTTCTCCTCGACCTGCCCACATCCTGCCTGCATCACAGCTCTATGCCGAGTCGCTGGCCCGGTTTGGTGGCACCTCTCCCTACATCTACCCACTTTACGGCCTGGGCGAGCTGCCCCAGGTTGGTACTCTCTTTTCCTGCTGTCGCCATGCGCATTGACTGTCGTTCTCGTCACCTGCTAGTCACCTGCTAAGCTTTATTGTGTGGTGCTGTGATTCAGGCGTTCGCACGGCTCTCTGCTGTGTACGGTGGGACGTACATGCTTGCCAAGCCTGGGTGCAAGGTAGGGCACACGCTTTTTTTCCAGGCTCGGTGGTGTCTCGTCTTCTCCACCTCCCTGCCTCTCCGTCCCACCGTTCGATTTCAACGTGTCGGCGATCTTCTCTTCGCTTATGCTTGTTTTATCTTCCCCCTTCTGCTGCCTGGATGACACTGCGTTGCGCTGCGTTGGCCCTGCTGTTGGCAGGTGGAGTATGATGAAAGTGGCAAGGTGTCCGGGGTGACGTCCGATGGAGAGACTGCCAAGACAGCTAAAGTTGTCTGCGACCCGTCTTACCTTCCCGATAAGGTACACTTTCAAATTGCTTGCGTGTGACAAAAGAACACGTAATACAACTAAAGCTAGAACGACCTTTTCGTCATGGTTTTCATTCCATGCTGTGCTGTTGCTGACACCACCTGCTGCGGCCCTTGTACTGTCCGGCCTGCAGGTGAAGGTTGTTGGCAAGGTGGTGCGCGCCATCGCCATCATGAGCCACCCGATTCCCAACACCTACGACTCACACTCGGTGCAGATCATCATTCCGCAGAAGCAGATCAACCGCAAGGCCGACATGTATGATCCCTGCCCCCCATCTCCCCCCTTTTTGGTGGTACTTATGATACAGTGCCTTTCTCTCCTTATGCATTGTTGCTCCTGGCTTCTACTCCCCACACTCGCCTGCCCTCCCGCCTGCTTCGTCCGCTTACCCTCTCCCACTTCCCCCCCCCCCCCCCCCCCCCCCTCCCCTTTTGCTCCCTGTCTCTTGTGGTTGCAGGTATGTCTTCTGCTGTTCCTACTCCCACTGCGTGGCAGCCAAGGGCAAATTCATTGCCTTCGTCTCCACCTCTGCTGAGACGGTAAGGCCTGCTCAGCCAACAGTACGTTTGGCTTACCAGAATCCAACATGCATCAAGGTAGCTTTGACCCTCCAGTTAGTAATGCACGGCGAAAATAAAGATTCTCACAAGGTCGTTGCGCTGTGTTCTCTGTGCACTGTGGGTCTGTGGGTCTGTGGGCCCTGTGTGTGTTTGTTTATCCAGAACGACCCCAAGACGGAGCTGAAGCCTGGAGTGGACCTGCTGGGCGCTGTGGACGAGATCTTCTACGACAGCTACGACGTCTATGAGCCCACCAACGACTGCACCACTGACAACTGCTTCATCTCCAAGGTAAACCGTATGCTGCTGCTGCTGCTTCTGCTCGTGCTGCTGGTCTTGCTACCTCTCCTCATTCCCGAGGCCCACTACCATCTCTCTCACAGTTTGGGTTGAATTACCTCACCGTTTTTAGCCCTTACTTGTTAGTGTAGTGCAAACGTTGTACTTGTCGTGTTGACGCCCGTGCTCCATGCTGCAGAGCTATGATCCCACTACCCACTTTGAGACGACAGTCAAGGACGTGCTGGACATGTACGCCAAGATCACTGGCAAGGTCAGTCCAAACCAAACGCCATTCCCCAACCCGTCCCCCTACCAATGCCACGTCCGCTTTGTGCCTGTTTTGCTGCTTTGGAGTCCAGTAGGATGTTCTGTTCTTCGTCTGGCTAGCCTGCTCCGATTCGGTGAGGTGGCTGCTGTCTCTGCCTCCTCACCCGCACTCCCTATCCTCCCATCCCGTGTCTGTTCACAGGAGCTCGATCTGAGCCACGAGGACCTGAACGCGGCCTCAGCCACAGACGAGTAATCGCTTTTCTTATCCTCCGCGCCGCATAGCATCGGTTGTGGCCTGGCCTCCCCCCATGTGGTTTTCTGCCCTTGCTGCCGTCCAGATATTATACTAGCCTTTGTTTACCCGTCTGGTATGGTGCTCGTGGTCTCTCCATTGAGACTTCATCTGTGTGGCTGGCTGGAACTGCTGAAAAATGTGTAGTAAACAGCTTAGGGAGTCTGCTTTGGAACAGCACAACTTGCAGGATTCAGGTGATTTCTGATTCTTGCTACTGTTTTGGGATAGTTGCTGCAACAGTTATGAGTTTTGCTCAAGTCCCAATGTGATGGTACGGTACTTACCCGAAGAAGCTTTGGAGACTTGTGGCTGGCTGGATCTGCTAAATTTTGTGTAGACAACGCAGTATGCAGGATTGGGTACCCATATAGGGCGTAGCTGCTGCAACAGTTTTGAGCTCTGCAGCCCCTCAGATCTCAGAATCTTTGTCAGAAATAGGAACTAAGACGCCACGAAAGTGGCGTGAGGTTTTAGGAGCTAGGAGAACAACAGAGATTTGACGAGATAAAAGAGACCTTAATGAAAAGAAGCGAGGGATTCAAGGAGGGGTGTTGTACTCTCTACAGTAATGTTCAGTACCGTTTACCAAGCCTACAATTATATACTAACATATATTATTTGACATGTTTTATCCTGAATTCCTGATTTTCATGATGCTTATTAGGGGTCAATCCTGAAAATTCAGTTTAATGTCATTTTCTACCCTGTGAATTCAGTTTTACGTCATAGTGCAACCCTGAAAATTCAGTATAGTGCAAGTGTACCAGCCCTGAGGTGTCAGTATGCTTTCGGTTCGGGGACAACCATGATTCATCGAATCTTGCAAATGCACGTGCCCCACGGGCGCATGCTTTGTGTTTTTCCGTTCAAACAAATTTCGGCTACCGATAAGTCATCGATGCTAGAGTCAATCCTCCAACCAGCCCCACGCCACTCTATTTTGATTAAGTTTTAAACTCTAGAGACAATCCTCGAACGAAACCCTATCCCTCCCCCCGCTATTCTAAATTTTCGGTGAAGTCATCAATGCTAGAGACAATCCTCCACGAACCCCCCTTAACCCTAAAATCTTGGCGAGCTAGAAAATTTAGCGTAGTCTTCCATGTTAAAGTAAGAACTGAATGATACAACTAGAAGGAGAAACCTAGAACAAATACTAGTTGGTTGTACTCACTAAAAGCATACCTCAGTCTAGCCTATAACTTCTACATAGCTAATATGTATAAGTTGACACACCCCCTAGGCTAGACAAGGGATGAAGCTAAGCAAGAAGCAAACAGCTCTGGGTGGCACTACTAGTCCAACCACTGAGGCAGGGGTCCGGAGACCAGTCAGCAAGAGTACAAACAAAACTAAAGCAAGTCAGGGTGGCACTACTAGTCCAGCCATTGGAGGTAAGGCCACAAGGCCAGTCTGACAGGTATATATAATAGTGAGTACACAATCAGTATCCTAACAGGTGAGTAGCTATAGGAACAAGACCAATCTGTACACAGTCCACTGATGATCTTTAGGCGCAAGCGCCTTAGTAAAGATATCAGCTGTGTTGGCACCTGAGGCCAAGTGAACTACGCGGGCCTGGCGGCGCTGCTGTAACTAGATATGCTTAGCTCTGCCCTCAAGTCGAGGCTCCTAACATAGGAGTCTCATGGCCCTATTGTCAGCGTACAGGACCGGGACAGAGCTAGGCCGCTCACCTAAGTCTATGAGCAAGAAGGTCAGCCAGCGGAGCTTCTGTGCCGCCATGGCACCAGCGTAGATCTCAGCCTCACAGCTCGACAGAGCCACAGACGACGAGCGAGTGGATCTCCAAGAGATAGCACCCGAACCAAGGCTAAAACAGTAGCCCTGCGACGACCTGAGCGTCTCAGATTCGTCTGCCCAAGAAGCGTCTGTGTGTCCAGTAAGGACCACTGGCCTGCGTCCTCCTAGCACTAACCCCATACCCGATGTACTTGCAAGATAACGCAAAACCCTCTTAGCGGCACACCAGTGCTGAGGTCGGTGTCTGCCTGTAGCCACAAAGCGAGCCAGGATGCTGAGAGGGTATGCGAGTGCAAGTCATCAGGTACATGAGGCAACCCACCAGCTCTACGTAGGGGCCACTGGGCTCTACTGGCTCCTCAGGAACGGGAGCGGAGAGCCCATGGTCTACATGTAGGGGTGTGGGCTGTGCGGAGGAGAACTGAAGACCGAACCTCTGAAGGACCTGACGCACCAAGTGTGACTGTGTAGGAGTGATGGTGCGTGCTGCTCTGTCCCTAGAGATCTGCAGGCCAAGATAGCGACGCGGCTCTCCAAGGTCAGTGCAGGTGTGTCTCTTTTGCAGCACGGCCTTCACGGAGGCCAGTGCGTCCCTGTCAGCCGTAGCGAAGACCAGGTCGTCTATGTAGACAAGGATGTGGAATGGAGTCTGGCCGAAACGCATAAACAGCGAGGGGTCAGCAAAGGACGGAAAGAACTGCAGGTCTGCTAGCGTGGCACGCAGCGTGTCGTGCCACTCGTGGGGAGCCTGGCGCAGGCCGTAGACCGGGCGGCTGAAAAGCCACTGGGTCCTAGGGGGGAAGGTACCGGTGAAGCCCTGTGGTCGGCGCAGGTAGACCTGCTCGTGTAGGCTGCCCTGAAGAAAGGCAGTAGAGAAGTCAAGGGAGTGAAGCTCGTAGTCACCCTGTGCTGCTACGTGTAGCAGCGCCCGAAGAGTGGTCATCTTCGGGGTCGGGGCGAAGGTCTGGAAGAAGTCATCCCCCAAGCGCTGGCTGAAGCCTCTGGCCACGTAACGCGCCTTGAATACAGGCGGCTCTCCAGGGGGGCGCTTCACCTTGAAGAGCCACCGACCATCGACTACGTTCACCCCAGGCGGGGGAACTGCATCGACGTAAGTGCCGGTGGACCTCCAAGATGCCATCTCCTGCTCCATGGCAGCTATCCACTGAGAGGCCCAAGGTCCCGAGGTGGCCTCAGCGTAGGTGCGAGGGGTCGGGATGTCGAAGGCGTCTGGGTCACCCTCAGGGACTAGCAGCATGGAGCAGAGATGGGGAGCAGCCTCGGAAAGGAAAGCAAGCTCGTACTGCCTGTCCTCTAGGACGTCACTGCCAAGGGCAGGAGCACCCCCGACGGACGGAGGACGGGCAGGGTCAGAGACCAGAGCGGTAGCGTAGTCAAGGCGGCGGGTAGAGGCGAAGTCAGCGACAGCAGCGACAAGCACGTCAAGGCGCGAGACAGGAACAAAAGGATCGGTAACAAGAGAGGCAAGGACCCGAGGGACAAGGAGAGGAGCGGCACGGAGGTAGTCAGAGAACGGAGGAGGTGCAATAGCAAGGGACGAGGGAGGAGGGGACGGGAGGAGGGGAGGACGAGACGAGCGGGAACGGAGCAATATAGGGTGGGAGCGCAGGACAGGAGAGACGGGACGAGCACGGGAGGGACGGCGAGACCAAACGTGGGACGGAGGTGTAGGGTCAGGCGACAGCGGAAGGGACACAGGAGGGGAACGAGGAGGAAGACGGGCCAGAGACGAGTCTGGCGGCTGGAACACATGACCGTAGACAGGAAGGTCAGCAGGCGGTGGGGGAGACACCGGCGAGCGGTCCGGGGAGGGAAGGCCGAGCAGGCGGAGAGCGGAGACCGGTGGCGACGGCTGCTGCGACGGCTGGGCCGGAACCCTCGGACCGGCAGAGGCAGGACGACCGTCGGCGGAACCCTCAACAGCAGCACCCCCAGAACCAACACCCCCAGAGCGAGAACCCCCTCTTCCACACCAGCACCCCCAGGGGCCAAGAGCGGCGGCGACGGCAGCAGCGGCGACGGCAGCGGCAGCGACGGCGGCGGCGGCTGCGGCGGAGGCGGCGACTGCGACAGTGGAGGCGATAACACGGGGGAAGGGGGACGCGGCAAGGACGGGCCGGGGGAACCACCAGAGTCAGCGGACTCCTCAATGGGGACAACCGGCGGGAGGGGAGTGACGTGAGAGACACCAGACAGGGCAGGGCGATGCGGGAGAGGAGCAGGGGCTACCGGGGGAGAGGGAGCAAGGAACAGGGGCAGGGCAACCGGGAGACCGCGGTGAGGGAAGCGGCGGTAGAAGGAGACGGACTCGTCAAAGGTGACGTCACGAGAGTGGAGAAAGCGGTGAGACGGTGGGTGGTAGAACGTGGGTGTGACGCCAAGGTCCTGGAGACAGCCAACACCAACCAGGTTCCTCGAGAACGAGGGAACATGGAGGCCTGTAAGGGAGCCCGAGGGAACTGCTGGACAGGGAAGGGACGTAGAACTGCGAGCGACGACAGGACCCGCGGAAGGGTTCAGCGAGAGAGACAATAGCAGGCGCAGCAAGCGGCGTGAGCGTGGAACGGTCGCGGAAGAAGCAGGCAGAAGCACCGGAGTTGAGAGTGAAGGACAGTGAAGCAGTGGCGGAGGCCGGGGACGGAGCCGGTGCAGCGACTAGACTAGGCAAGCTAGGCAGTCCTACGCCTAACGCAGCAGGGGAGGCTAAGCTACACAATGGTGCAACATCTAAACTAGAGTACACAGGGTAATAAGATCCAGCAACACTAGAAGCGTCAGAATACAAAGCATGCAAAGCAGCACCTATCTGATCCATATCTAACTCAAAGATCGGCACGCCCAGGCGGAGCAGGCTCTGCCAGTCGGGGAGGTCCGGGGCTGGGCCAAAGCGACGACGAAAGAGATCGTCGAGGCGGCGGATACAGCGGGCGGTCGGGTGCGGGCAGCGGCACAGAGTGCCACGAAGAGGCCCGGTCTGAAGCTGGTACTGGCAAGTGACAGCACCGGAGCCGTCGGTAGACACCGAGCTGCGCGGGCCGCCACCACGGCCACTTCCTCCGGAGGTGCCTGGCCAACCAGGCTGGAGACGGGCCCACGACTACCGCGACTGCTGCTGGGATGGCGGCTGTTGCTGGGGCGGCGGCTGCGGCTGGGGCTGCTCCTGCTGCGGCTGGGGCTGCTGCTCCTGCCCACCAGTGGTAGTCCCCGCAGGCGGACTACCGTCACCACCACCACCACTACCTGCGCCACCACCCCTACGTCCCTGGCGACCACGGCCACCGCGGCGCGAGCGCTACTGCGGGTGGACCGCAGCAGCCGTCTCGGTGAGAGGGGTCACCGTGGCGACCGCAGTCGAAACGTCAGTGAACGTGCACTGGGAGGGGGCACAGCCATGAAAGATAGAGACTGCCGGCGCACCGCTCGACTGAGCGATCTCGATCTCGGTGAGGGTGTCGACAAAGGCGGTGAGGGTGAGGTCACCCGGGTGCTGGCTAAGGAAGTGATCGCGAGCACTAGCGAGGCG